GTGTATAATGATATGATTGTGATGCTGTAATTCTGAGTGTTTTATGTGCTGCAGAACAGGAACCTGCTGTAAAACAGCAGTCATGCTGAGTCAGGCTTGATTTTTAATAATCTTTTCATGTTAAATAAATAAATCAAATCAAATCAAGTTTCAAGACATTTTAGGTGACTCACTCAAATGCAGTTCTTCAACTTGTCAACAATACCTGTGAGAGACTACTCTAAAAGGTAGCCATGGCAGCCATCTTGAATCTTGTTGGTTTCAGAAAGTAATTTTCATGTTTGTKGCTGGTTTGACTCAGGAAGCAGGCACAGAAAACTAAAAAAAAAACACTTAGTAGAAAGAAACAAATTCATTAACAAACGATAATGCAGAGCGAGGCAGCAAAAAGGTTCAAGGAGAACACACAAAGAACAYGAGGAGACAAACTCACTGGCTGAAAACAGCGACAACTCCAACAGAAGACAGGAAACTCTATAAAAGATTACCAACAAGCTGGATATGGGCAACACCTGAGGAGAGACCAGGGCCTGCCTGCTGGCAGACCCCGAGAATCTACTAAGCAAAGCTGTTTGATAATCTGGTGCCGAGCAAGAGCTAAACCTGGGTTTAAGTACACACAAATACAGGTGAGTGCAATAATCTTGATTACCTGATGTGGGCATGACGTGACGAGAAAGCTGTGATGGGCAGGGCAGAACATGAATCACGACATGTAGAGAGAGGCAGGTACACCACGTGTGTAAACAAAACAAAACAAAATACTAAGAAACACAGATCCTCAGTACAAAATCTGTCCAGATATTTAGTGAAATATCTCATGAACAAGAGATAYGCCCATACACACTAGATATTACACAACTGCTCGCCTGCCATGTTGGCAGGTGATTATTATCTTCATTTTGCTACTTGAGTGCTCCAACTTTGCTTCCTTCCCTTTCCTCCTGAATATCCCACAGTCAAATGAAAGCATTTTGATATGCAGCATTTACTTTCAACATCACAAAGTGAAAATTGGAGCCAAGACTACACCTGTTGATGGAGCTGATAATGATTCATCAGTGTTTCTAATTTAGATTTACTTYTCGTTAAGGAGTGAGTTGTTGAGCCTACACAGATTTAATGAACAAAGCAGCGATTTCAAGCACAGACTCACGCTGTTCTTGTTATAAGCTAAGTGCTTGAAACAAGCTTTTTTTCAGCTCAAACATTCTGACTTGTCAGAGCAGGAGAGAAGCTCCTTTGGGGCCAATATCACTAATGGTGGCTAAAGTGCAAACTATTCCAGTAACCCAGCCTGCAAATGAAAGCAGTGCACCCAATGGCAACAGAGCCGCCATTAAAGTTATTAATCACACCTGTGATTTTTTTTTCTCCAGCTACGTATCAAATTGTCTGCAATGAAAAATGTCTTTATGCTCCATTGAAACAAAACATCTGCTGCTGTGAATATGCAAATAGCTTGTCTCGGTGCATGAGCGAGGCCACTCAGCTTTTTAAAATGGAAAATAGAGGAAAAAAAGTGAAATGTTGTTGCATTCTCAGCTCAAAGAGTGTTCATTCAGAACAATGCGAGTGCGTAAGGAGATTAAATTATTAGTCTTTTGTTAAATGTGTTTTAGTCACATGTACCCACTAACAGTCTGCTTGCATGCAGCTGAAGCTGCATCAGTAGTTCTCGGTTTCTGACAAACCAGTTCATAAGATGGCATAACATTATGAAAGCAGTAAGCAGCAGGGAGTGTTGAATTATTGTACGCAAACCGGTTTGACCCACAGTCAGGTGTTTATTGAAACATCACTTCATTAGCTGTGGACAACACTGGGCCCACCATCTGCTCCCCGAGCCTGGCCAAGGTTAAGAATTCTCTTGGCAAGAAGAGAGAAGAAGGCAGCAGTGGAATTTGCGTAAACAACAATGGATGAAAAAGAAAAGGATGACAAAGAGAGATCTAATGGAGCGAAAATGGTAATATTTCATATCCTCTTTAATGGACTGAGAGATGCAGTAAATGTGTCACAGTTGGAACTGATATATATAAGGAAAGTTAGAAAAAACTAAAGTGAGGAGTTTCTTTCTTTTATTCATAAATGTAACATATACATAACAGGAAGTAAAAGGTCTGCATATGTGAAATTTTAAAGGGTGAAGTCACTTGCAGCTGCTAGGACAGGGCTATCGACTGGTGGCCCACGGGCCACATCCAGCCCACGAGTGACCAAAATGCGGCCCGCCAATTGGTTCATTGATCTCTTAAGTCCAAACACCCGGTTTTCTACTTTAATTACTTTAGTTCTTTTAGCTAGACACAGACATGTTTGGTGTCTACAGAAACATCAGAATATTGGCTAGAAGCTGGTAAAGACCATTTATATGAATATCTAAGACAGGTAAAACTACAAGCAGTTAAAGATAAAATGATGAAAGTGAAAATAAAATTGGTTTAAAAATTTGGCAAGTCAGAGATGTCAAAATAATATTTGTGTTAAATAGGAGGCAGAATGTGTTATTTTTTATATTGTTTTACTAACACTACATTTATTACATAGGGTTCTGTATGTTGTATTCATGATTAAATGCAGCAAAATAAACTAATTCAAAAGTAACAGATCTTTGTAATACTTAGTTTATTTACAAAACGATTTTAATTGCTGGATGTTCAGCCCCTGTGCTGTTGTTCTGCATTAACTATGGCCCCCAGAGCATTTTAGTTGAATAGCCCTGTGCTAGGACAACTGGTACTTGATTACACACAGATGCCAATTAACTTCAGTGTCTCAAAAATGACATTTTTTTTCCTTTGATAAACGTTTTACCTTTTGTTAAAGTGTTCAAGTTGCTAACTGCATTTAAGTTTGTCATTGATGAAGCTGATCAGACTCATTGCGTGTCAGTGTTACAGAATAAACAAAGCCAACAGGTATTCAGTCCAGCTGGAATTCAATAATTACTGCAGAGCTTCTCTGCCCATCAGGCGCTGACCCCGACACCAGGGTCACCTCAGGGATGTGTGGATTGACTAATTTGCCTAATTACCCAGCCACATGATGATGAGCTCTTCCATTAGTAGGGTCACCCTTCTTTCCTTCAAGTCCAAATGCACGGATGCAATTAGACATAACTCTGAAATCAGACTCTGGATGTCTTCACTCAAACATTCCTTTTTTTAAGTATACACTTGGTGTGGGCTGAATGAAAGGAACACATAATGGATAAGGTGTTTTCTAAATAAAAAATATGGTTTACTTTTTAAAGTGAGAACACTTTTCAGTTTTATAGATTTTTGTATGAAAAATGCTGGGTCCTTATGTCATAAAAACTGTGTTTGGAACATTCAAAATGGAGTTCTGAGGAAAGGTTATGAATAAATGGTATCCTATCGTTTGTGAATAGCTTTGAGTGGTCTAACAGTAGCTTTTAACTGGAACGACAAACTAATAGCTAAACTGAGCAAGGCCCAGGATGTACTGAATCACTACTGTCGTAAAAAAATAGTTCATAACAACATATGACAAATCAGTGTAATTTTGAATAAACAAAAAATTTCAAAATAAAAAAGGGAATCAAAATGAAAATGTGAAAATCTCAATATACCCTTGTCACTGTTACCTGATCACTTTGGCTCAGTGGTTAGAGCAGTCGTCCTCCAAAGAGAGAGAGACGGGAGTTTGATTCCTTGCAGTTACATTTAAGTACCCCTGAAAAGACACAAGGCCACCATGTCTGAACCTGCAAAATCTGCTCTCAGTTTTGTAGKTGCATGATGGAAATTTTTTTTTGTCAGCCTCATGTCACCGTCCTGAACTTGGCACAAGGCCTGGGCTGAACTTTTCACCCTTCATAGACATACAAAATTATTGGTCAGAAGTACATAGGCGTGTTTGCTGTAAAGTGTTTGGCAACAACGGCAGCTATTTGCTTCGACTGCAACTACTCTACTTCCAGAAACCGACTGTCGTGCCAAAAAGCAAATACTTTTATAAAAAGATAGTCAAAATCTCATGGATAGAAATAGCATAGACATGCACGGAGGAATCAGTCTGCCAAAAAGTGTGAAGCTTTGATCATGACTGATTTGTTGCCAAAGCAATAACAGATATGAAAGTGGAGACACCAGCTGGAAGAAGCACATGCTGTGAAATGTACTGCAGGTGGAGGGGTTTCCCAGGAGTTCTGAGCTGTGTGTCTTGTTGGACTACAGAAGGTGTGAGCGAAAACAAACCTCCCGCCACCACATGAACACACATCGACAGGTTAGATCGACAATGCTTGGTCCTGAACCCCTCATCGTCTTCAATGCAGAGCCAGACTTGCCAGCCAATGAAATGGCTGCTTAGGACCCTGTGGCCACTAAGGGGCCCTGAGATGGATGCATGGTAAACTGAATTGACTGACTGAATGAAAATTTACCTGCAACACAAACCAGATAGCCTGCATGGATCACTTATMAATCAGCAGCCACACACACGTCTTGACAGTGACAAATTACATGATGGAGTATTTCCAACTCATCATTACTTCATGACTAGGCCCACTTCATGATTCTCTGGGGTTTCCCCCAAGAACTCAAGCACTTTCGACCTTCTGTGCACACTGAAGCATCATTTTCTGCACTAGGGTTAGATCAAATGATATATTTGGTAAATTTCATGTCTTCTGTCAAATTATCGATGCTTTACTTGGAAAACTGAATTGTGTGTACAGAAGTTCTTAAAACTTTAAAAATGATTTTACTCTACAGATGCAGTAGTGACTGATGATAAAAGCCTGCTCCCGGCTTTCTGCTCCATCACCAACTGATCATGCTTCTTGGCCATCACATCTGACTGATCAAGTCTGAGCTGAAATAGTCTGCACTAACATTATTAGTTTCAAAATCCTGCAACCATTATGTTGGAAGCCAGATTTTATTTGATGACAAAGCAGTTGATTTGACTTCCAAAAAAGCAGGTAGACTGACAGTTTTATAAGAACTGCCATTACAAAGAATAACAAAGTTTGAAAAAGAAAGCGATAGGGTTACAATTAATATATATATATATACACACACATACATACATACACACACACACATTTTTATTTTTGCAGTATCTGGGCCAAGTGCTCCTTTGCTATGTGCCCATAGAGGTGCATTTTAATTTATAAGGTTTACAATTAAATACAGCATTTGGTTTTGTGTATCTTTTAACATCTACTTATGGCAAAGTTGGGCCCCCGAAGCATATCTTGCTTAGGGCTCTCAAATATCTAGGTCTGGCCCTGCTCTGATGTACTCTATTAGTGAAGGAATGTGATCTAAAGCACTGATTAGTTTCTGTGAAATGATTTATTTTAACTCGTTTTGCAGAGATGTAGTAGAGTTCTGTGTAAGTGTGGATGAGTGAAGAGGACACAAATTAAGTTGTAAAGATCTTTGAGTAGCTTGGTTACCTAGGCACTGAGAAAGTACAGTCCATTTACCATTATTCTAAATAAGCTGCTGCCAGGTTCTTTTCTGGAAATAAGAGGTTTTCTTATGGCAAGTCATACTTGTTCAGCCCTGTTATGAACTTTAACCTTCACCAGGAAAGCTGAGACATGCAGAGCCTGAGATTAAACTACCGGTATTTTCTTTCAAGTTTTTTTTWAAATTGCAAGGTCCTCAGGTTGAACTGCTGGTTAGCATGGCAATGGACTTGAATCATTTCTACTTGGAAATAAAACATGCTCATGTTGAAGGGTAAACTCTAAACACCCAAGTTAGATATAGCTGTATAACCTTACAATACAATGGATCACAATATTCTGTTAGAGAGGCGTGAACCTGATATTGGGATTACAGGAATGGCTTAAAAATGGTTTACCAGTAAGTCTTATTAATTTGAGAAATTCTAGTTTGTAAATGTTAATAATGAATCTTCTTCTTACACCAGAGTTAGTCATGGAGTGACTCAGAGTTCAGTTCTTGGACCAATCCTCTTCACTTTATATATGCTTCCATTAGGTAAAGTTATTAAACAACATGGGAAATTTAAATTTCCATTTTTATGCTGATGATTTTAATTTATATTTATCCATAAAACCCAAAAAATCCAATAATTTACTTAAATTACAAGCGTGTCTTCAAGACATAAAAACCTGGATGACTTAATTTTCTGCTTCTAACCTCAGATAAGACAGAGGTTGTGGTTTTTGGACCTGAGCATCTTAGGAATAAACTTTGCAGCCTTTCACATCCTCTGGATGACATTAATCTGGCCTCCAGTTCTAATGTAAAGAACCTTGGTGTTATTTTTGATCAGGACATGTCTTTTAACCCCCACATTAAATGTTACCAGGACCGCCTTCTTCCACCTGCGTAATATTACTAAAATTAGAAATGTTTTGTCCTAAAATGATGCAGGAAAACTGATCCATGTATTTATCACGTCTAGGCTGGATCACTGTAATTTTTTATTACCTGGGCATCCAAAAAACTTTTTATGAAGTCTTCAGTTGATCCAAAATGCTGCTGCTGGAGTTCTAATGAGAGTTTGAGGGGGAGATCATATTTCTCCAGTTTTAGCTTCTCTCCACTGGCTCCCTGTCAAATTCAGAATAGAATTTAAAATATTACTCTTAACATACAAAGCTCTTAACAACCAAGCTCCATCATTTATTAAACAGCTTATTTTTCCATACTTTCCTAACAGAGCACTTCAGACTGCAGGTTTACTTGTGGTTCCTCGAGTTTCTAAAAGTAGAATGGGAGGCTCCTCTCTTGTGGAACCAAATTCCAGTTTCTGTCTGTGAGGCTGACACTCTGTCTACTTTTAAGATTAGACTGAAGATTTTCTTTTTGATAAATCCTATAATTAGACTTAGGTTTCCTGAATTATTCTTTAGTACTGCTGCTATAGGTTTAGACTGTTGGAGGATAACCCCTAATTTACACTACATGTGTTCAGTCTCCGCTCCAGTCCGACCTCCGTAACAAATACTCACCCATTTTAATCAATGAGAGTATTTACACTGGCTCCGCATGGCGGCAGCGAGCAGACGGCGATCCGGCAAAATTAGATTTGATCCTATTTCTGCCAGACGCTGGAGCTGCGCCTGAGTCGATTTTTWAAGATTATGTCGCACCAACAGGAAGAGGAAGAAGCTTAACATCTGTATTTTCAAAATAAGACACTATTAGGTGGAATAATTTATTGGAATAATGTTGAAATCCCAGCTATATTAATAAATATATGGATATGTTTCTATACAAAGTCTGTCAGAATGTATCGTTCTGTTTGGAAAGCAGATGGGAACACGTAGCATATACACACACGATACATGTGGATTTTATTTTGAAAATCAGAAATTTCAAAAAGACAGCGATACAATTTCAACCATAGATATCAAAAGCCTTTATATCAGTGTTTTCAGCTGTGTTTAGAGTTTGTCTTTCACAGAATTAATTATTTTTTGTTCTGAGTTCCACATTTATCACTGGATTTATTGTGCAATCTTCTTCCTCCACATGGTCCCTCCTCTGTCACACCGGAGCGGAGCTGAGCGGAGTGGAGGCTGTATAAAATGGGGCACAAACAAACAGCGGAGCGGAGACGCGTGTAGTGTAAATCCAGGGCAAACTGACCAAATTTCCTCACTCTGCTGCTGTCTTTATTCACTCTCCTCTACATGTTTGTTTCAATAACGTGTTTTCTTAGTCTCTCTTCCAGAAGAAAATACACCTGGACCAGTCCTTTTGTGTTTGTCTGTGTCCCCTTCCTGTCCCCCCAACCCAAGGCAAATGGCTGCCTGTCCTAATTCTGTCTCTGCTGGAGGTTTGTTCCCGTTAAAAGGGAGTTTTTCTCTCCACTGTTGCCAATGTGCTGTTCAGGATGGGAGACTGTGATGAAGTGAAGATTCAACACAATCTGCTGCTTCTTTAGATGTATTGTTTTTTTGTATACAGTGCCCTGAGACAACGTTTGATGTGACTTGGCTCCATATAAATAAACTGAATTGAGTTGAATTGAACCTCTCTCAGCATACTGAGTAATTGCTTCACAAAGAAACTGAAGAGGTATCTCCTCCTTGGTACTGTGTTGAGACCTGAACATTCCAGTTTAACAAACTGCAGCAGTTTTACTTTTACATACGTGCTCACATTCCATACCAAGACATGTGGTCAGCAACACCTGGATGTAACTTATCTTATTGATCCTATGCATGCTGTAATGGTGRGATTTATTTTTTACACCCTTCTTAAACACAGTTGGCTTATATTTAGTTCAATAAGATGGTGTAAAACATCTTTTTTTTTCAGCAACCTGAAGTAGCATTTTCTCATTTTAACTAAATATTATTTTTATGCAAAAGCTCTGATTTAGRAAACTTCTAAACTGATTGGCTGTGTATTTAATTTTAACCATAGCTGTATCTAAAAAGTGCTTTGGGAAAGTAATAAGGAAAAAAATCCAAATGTAGCACTGCATCCATCTTGTTCATTTCATGCGAATGTTCCTGCCATCAGCACACCTTTGTGCAGACAGACTCGTCAAGATACTTTCATCCTGTATTTAATGGGTAGGATCACATACTCAAGACCATTATGCTTTAGGGTTGAAGAAGATCAAACATCATATTAAGGCTGATTTAAGGTCATTTAACTGTCTTTGTTAGACATAAAGGAGCCAA